AAATTACAATATACACATGGTCTTATATACAAGTTGGCAAGGCATGATGACAGCTTAACGGAAGTCTCAATCAGAACCACGACAGTTGCAGTGAGATGTAAGTGTGATGAAATGTGGGTGTATAGATTAAGAAAAAAGCTTGAGTTCTTTGCTGGCTTTGAGTCCAGTGTTTAAACTCGGTGAATGATACTTGATATACAGGGTGTATCAAAAAAAGCGCAACCTCGGAATTTCCCAAGAAATCGGCATTGTTTTAAAGACAAAAGATTTTAGGCGCCTGGGAATTTAAAATAGCATAACTGTCAAAATTACTGCACACGCGAGTGCATAAAGCAACATTTATGCATTTATTTAATGCACAACAACAGTAATATGATCTATTAGCAATTCGATTTCAATTCCCAGGGGCCTAAAATCTTTTATGCTTAAGAATTGCAAAGTGATTTCTTAGGAAATTCCGAGGTTGCGTTTTTTTTTATACACCCTGTATAGAGCTTCAAGCAACAAGAGTAAGTTAGGTGTGCGAGAATAAATAGTGTGAAGAATTCGAGAGTTGTCAGATATTAAGTTGGAAATAAAAGTGGAAACGTTATTGTCAGCATCAGTTGGGTTGTTAAGTTTGTCAAAAACAAAGTGTAGGTTTACAATGTATTGCACATGTTCGCAGTTGTGAAAATGCTGTCCAATAGCACTTTTGGTCGGATTGGTATGTTCAGCGAGTCGCGTCTGTAAACGTCTTTCTGTTTTCCCAATATACGTTGCGGAACAGCCAGGACATGTCACCTCATAAACTACATTAGATTTCGAAAGATTCGGAATTTTGTCTTTGTTGGAAAGGAAATAAGAAAACTTTTTGTTGTCATAAACAACTATAAAATTTACAGGAACAGTTAGGCATCTTTGTATTTTCTTTATGCAACTTTTAACTAAAGTTTCACCTTGTTTACCAAGGTATGGAACGCGAACCCAAACCTTAGGCCTAGTGTCGTTTTCATCAAAAAGGTTGGTGCGAGGTCGATCCGCAGAAAATTTGTTTTTTAGTTTAGTTATCAATAAATTCCTGATCGCACGAGGAAAGCCATTCCAAGACATAAACATTTTAAGCTTCCGAACTTGGTTATCAAATAGTTGACTGGTACTGCATAATTTTGATGCTCGGTGAAACAAAGATTTAACCCACGCAGTTTTACGTGAAAATGGTTCAAAACTAGAAAAATGCGTGTATTGTCCAGTGTGCGTACTTTTGTAGTAAACATCAGTGTTATCCGACGAAATCAAAATGTCCAAAAAATGAATTACATTATCCGGAAAGGTATCAACTGTAAATTGGAGATTTTTGTCAAAACTATTAAATTTGTCAAGAACAGCAGGAATATCCGAAGGTTTTATAAGCACTAGAGTATCACCAACGTATCTTCGGTAAAACCTTATGACACCAGATTTAATTAGATCCGAAACAATAAGTTTTTCAAATTCCGAAAGAATGATGTTAGCTAGCACAGGCCCCAGTGCAGACCCCATAGAAACGCCGTCAGTTTGCTCAAAAAGTTGATTATTAAATGAGAACGCGGTTTTAGTACACTAGGAATCAAGAATTAGTTTTTTCAAAGTCCGTTTCAAAAAAGTTGTAGTAATCAATTTTTCTTCAAAAATGCGGTCAAGAATATGATTTTGACAGTTTTGGTTAGCGGAACGTTTGTGAACAGTGAAACAACATCAAACGAAACAATTAGGCGATAACCTTCTGAGCTCTTTAGGTATAGATTTTATTTCCGAAACCGCATGAAATGAATCACGAAGAGTGTACTCGTTTTGGGCTAATGGTTTAATAACTTAGCGAGAAATTTTCCTACGTTATAATGTGGTGTTCCAGTTGTGTCAATAATAGGTCTAAACGGTGGCAAGTCGTTGTAATGTTTGTGGACTTTGGGAAGCCCATGTGCTCTACCGAAGTGTGCTGCTTTAGGTCTAAGAAAGTCATAGTCAGATTGAGAAATTTCACCACGTTGTAAAAGAGTGCATAAGAAGGACTGTAGAGAGTTTAGTCTAGTAGGCGTTGGGTCAGTATCAAGTAATTTAAAACGTGAAGCGTCAGAGAAGAGAGATGTGACAGAGGAAAGATAATCACTGCGTTTCATGACAACAATGCCATTACCTTTGTCGGGTTTTAAAATGGATAGGTCTTTGGAAAGTTCAGTTAGTGTTCTGATTTTCTTTCTGTCCGTGTAGAACTCGCGCAAATCTAGATCGATACAACTGTAGGTGAAGGAGAGTAACGAATTCTTGATTTTATCTTGTATATGGCGTCCGTCTTTAAACTTATTGAGGCGAGCGATTTGATCCCAAACGTCTTCCGATACAGCCATTATTTCAACTTGGTTAGGTCTTGTTGCTAGTCCGTGTCTTAATCCAAGTTTTAGTACGTCAATTTCATCAGATGAGAGAGTGCGGCCGGACAAGTTTATGATGGTGTCATTTGGGTTCTCTTCGATCGCATCCGCCGTTTGCTTGAGTTCAATTAGGGTGTTCAGTTTTCTATCGTGCCGGGAAGTGATCTTACTTTTCTCGATGCTGAGTAAACGATTAATCGAGAAACAAATGAGTCGGAATTTCATCCACGTAGTCTGTCCAGATAGTTCATGCTTGAGCTCATCACATTGCTTCGTCAAATTGCCAACATGGGAGTTCTTTTCTTTGATATAACATCAGTCAGAAGCAAGTTGTAGTAGCGTCGCTGATTCCTTTTCTTCATGCGGTTGAGGTTTTTCCATCGCACGAACTTCGGAAAGACTTGATTTTCTTTACAGTCATAAAGAAACTTCAAATCCAAATGTGCCTTAGCCAATCTTCTCAAAGACTGTTGGTATTTAATTGCAACTTGGTGTAATTGAGGGTCGGTCCTTCGGAGCTTAGACCAAAAACCAATACCAGCCGACAATTTCAAAAAATATAAGATAAGCATCTTGATAAGCATCTTGAAACCCAAAATATGAATCTTTCGAAATCCAATGTAGTTTATGAGGTGACATGTCCTGGCTGTTCCGCAACGTATATTGGGAAAACAGAAAGACGTTTACAGACGCGACTCGCTGAACATACCAATCCGACCAAAAGTGCTATTGGACAACATTTTCACAACTGCGAACATGTGCAATACATTGTAAACCTGCACTTTGTTTTTGACAAACTTAACAACCCAACTGACGCTGACAATAACGTTTCCACTTTTATTTCCAACTTAATATCTGACAACTCTCGAATTCTTCACACTATTTATTCTCGCACACCTAACTTACTCTTGTTGCTTGAAGCTCTATATATCAAGTATCATTCACCCAGTTTAAACACTGGACTCAAAGCCAGCAAAGAACTCAAGCTTTTTTCTTAATCGATACACCCACATTTCATCACACTAACATCTCACTGCAACTGTCGTGGTTCTGATTGAGACTTCCGTTAAGCTGTCATCATGCCTTGCCAACTTGTATATAAGACCATGTGTATATTGTAACTTTAGTTATTCTGATGATGATTTTGTAATAAAATCGAAATATTACTCACTCACTTTCTTGTTTGACTCATATTTTGGGTTTCAAGATGCTTATCTTCGGATTATGTTTGTATTATATACTATGTATATAATAAAGTTCACTGTCCCAACCTCGTACCCAGGCTCTTACCTTCGCACCCAGGGTACGAGGTTGCCCAATACCCATTGAAGTTCAATAGTGCTACCTTAAGAGCGTGTGTCTCTAAAAACCGCCCACTGACTTGGGGCTCGAAAAATAAATTTCTTCGAAACTTTTACCGTGAACTACATTTACTTTAACAACAAACACATGCTGTTTGGAATTTTCAAAATATATTTAGTTTCAAATTTTTAGCGATTTTTTGGTCTCGCACCGTCGCGGGAGAAATTCGCCGGCTAATAGACCTTTCCCCTTATAACCAAAATTTTGATCTAGGCAAGTCTAGACAAATATTTCATCACAGCTTGAAAGAGCATCACAAAATTAGTAATATTCCAAAGTTTCGTTGCGAAATGTTGTAAAATGAGGAAAATAGAGCCTTGCGAAGTTTGCAATTTTCAGTCATTTTGTATTACAAACGGGAAATTGCAGCCCCAACACCCGAAACGTATGTCAATTTCCCGTTTGTAATACAAAATGACTGAAAAACGGCAAACTTCGCAAGGCTATATTTTCCGCATTTTACAAGATTTTGCAACCAAACTTTGGAATATTACTAATTTTGTGATGCTCTTTCAAGCTGTGATGAAATTTTTGTCTAGATCGAAATTTTAGTTATAAGGGGAAAGGTCCATTAAACGAAAAAATGGGCTGAATTTAAATAAACATAATTTCAAAAGTTTTTGTTCAAAATTTCTGATATTCACACCCAGCAGCGGAAAACTATCGTAATTTCATCTAAACTAACTTAGGTTTTCAATTACAGAGCTTTGTGACAATATTTAGCGACAAAGAGCGCCATGTCAAAATACGGCTTTCAAATCCTACTATTTTCTACGCCGAATTTCTTAAAAGTGGGACCTAATTACATACAGTGACTAGTATAGTTGGAAAAAGGACACTTTGAAGTACTAAAAACCGTAATAAAACTCGTCTGCAAACACGATTTGAACAATTGAGAGCGTTTGAAATTTGATACTATTTATGGCCTTTTGTTTACATTAGAATGTTGCTGAGGTCGGACGTCTGAGTTCGTGTCATTGCTAAAAATGCGCTGTAGTTCTGCCAAATAACATTTTCTCATTGCCCTTCTCTCAAAACAAATCGATAATGTCATAGTACTAAATTAGATTTCGTTGGTTATCTTACAAGATATTTAAATAGATGATATTAAACATATAAAATTGAATCACGGTAAACACTTGCAAAAAATGTCGCCCGGGGAAAACCCAACAAAAACACTTGCAAAAAATGTCGCCCGGGGAAAACCCAACAAAACCTTACCTTTCCAGTAATTACGTCACAACTGCATGGAAGTGAGGCTGAGGGGCCAAAGCGTATGCCAATATGCGTTTGCTTTGGCCCCTCGGCCTCACTTCCACGCAAATTGACAATGCGATTATATATCTCTAATTTGGACTATATTCATGCATCACTTACGAGAACCAACTTGTGCAAGTACTCCAAAAATTTGGAGTACATCCCGTGATACTTCCAGGTTAATGACCTCTTTTCCTTTGCAGCGACGTGCAGGATGTGAGAAGGATGTTGGCACGTTAGACGAGGTCTCCAGTATCGGCCCAAGTTGTACAGGTGGTTTGGGCATACTGTCATAGAGCGAATTTCTTCGCTTGATATTTCATGTAAAAATCCCGCTCTTCTCAAAATCAGCTCGCGCTCGCTAAAACCAGATCTCGACAAACGGCTACTTGAAAGATGGTTTTGAATGTTCTCATCACAATCTTCTATAAAGTGTCTAATACTGTCGGAGAGATATGAACATTCCAGTATACAGTATATAGCTCAGGACTTTAGCGCATGCGCATGAGGATATTTACATGTGCTCGATTCAGAGATTGACTAAAACTATAGCGTATTTGGTTTATATTTAACAAATATAAAACATTTTCCGTGTTGATATACAGTTATATCAACACGAGTGGAAATTGGGAAAACGAGAAATTGTGTGGAAACACGACGCCCGAAGGGCGGAGTGTTTTCACACAATTTCGAGTTTTCCCAACTTCCACGAGTGTTGATATAACGATATATCAATACGGAAAAAATGTTTTATATTTGTTTTATAATATAGCAATGTCAAAAGCCCGAAGAATAAGAAAAAAATCCGTGTTTACAAGCGGCGGAAAATTTCCCGTGTTGACATGGAGTTATATCAACACGGCTGTTAGCCAATCAGCGTTCAGAATTTACAAATGCTATATTATAATCTACTATAAAGGTTGTACTATTTCTATGCATATTACTCTATTAAACGAAGTCAAGTACTCTATTTCCGTCATATACATTCTACTCTACATTAATTGGTGCCGTGACCAGGATTATGGCGGAAAATCTACCAAAACTTCAAGCATCGCGAGCGGGCTATCGGGCCCATTTGACACAAACAATCAAGAAAGCTACAAATATTGCAACGAAGGAGGATCCCCTAACGGACAGTAATATTACATCTTTAAAGAGAATCGTTGATCAATTAGCTCGGAAAAGGTCGATTCTAGAAGAACTAGATGAGAAAATCGTAGGGATGATCGAAGACCCAAAGGAACTGGAGAGAGAAATATTCCAAACCGAGGACATCAAAGAAGAAATTGACGAGACAGCAGCTCAGATAAGTAACACTATTGAACATTTTCAATCTACAAAATTGTCTCAAAGTAACTCCCCCTCTGAAGTAACTCAAGTAATCTTAGAAAATGCAAGCAGTCAATCCCCATCAACAACAGTGAACACAAATGATCAAACAGACTCGGGGACCCCTAATGAAATTGTTCAACAAGATAATTCCCCCCCTGTAAACACACAATCACAACAAGATAGTCAACCCTCTACAAATGCACAATCACAGCAAGATAGTCAACCCTCTACAAGTGCACAGTCACAACAAGATGGTCACCCCGCTACAAACACACAATTTCACCAAGAGACCCCAGTTATACCAGTATTTCCACCAACCCTACCAACAACTACACCCCACCACCCCAGCCTTATTAATCAAAATAGTCGTCTACCAAAATTAAACCTTCCAACATTTTCTGGGAACCCGCTACAATGGTTTACATTCTGGGACTCATTTGAAGCTGCAGTCCACTCCAATTCAACCCTCGGGGATGTACAAAAGTTTAGTTACCTTAAGGCCCAACTGGTGGGTGATGCATCAAGAGCTATTGCAGGGTTTCCCCTCACAAACCATAACTATACCAAAGCTATTCAACTCCTAAACGAACGATTTGGTAACCCCACCAAAGTAATTAATGCACACATGCAGTGTCTACTTGATCTGCAAAACCCCAACTATAAACTAGCAAGTTTACAACTATTCTATGACACTATGGAAAACCACATTAGGGGGTTAGAATCGCTCGGCAAAGCCCACAGTAACTATGGCGACCTCCTAGTCCCAATTGTTCTGGGAAAATTACCACGTCAACTCAGAACAAACTTAGCCCGTGACCATGACAGTCCCGAATGGAAATTTACACAACTGAGAGAGTATGGTGGCCCAAAACTGCCATTGATTTTTTTGATAAATTAATTATTTTCATCAATTTACTTTTTAAAATTATTGGGTTTTTTATGTATTTAGTCTTACTTTACTTTTATTTATTTTTTAATTTTAATTACTTTTCTTTTTATTTCCTAAACAAAGCTCGATTTGTTTTAAAAAAATTTTAAAAATGTATCTCACCACGAGCCCAAAACTGCCATAGTATACCACAATGCGTTGCGTGCATTTACTAATTTATTCATACGAATTTATTTTAAATTATTCGCGCATTCACGCGGGAAAGTTAAATCCAACATGGCGTACATGAGGAATCCAGACTGGAAAGACGACGAAAGACTGAAAGATAGTTTGGAAGGATACAGTAGGCAAGGACTCCAGAGACAAGAAATTCTAAGTTTTATGAAGAAGGACTTCAGCCATTATGCTTGGTCTTTGCGAACACTGGACAGAAGAATGCGATGGTTTGATATATATCGAACGGATAGAACAGTGACTGAAGAAGCATTGAGAACCGCTGTAAAACAGGAATTGGACGGGCCAGGAAAGCTTCTTGGATATCGCGCTATGACGAATAAAGTAAGACAAGAGCACAATCTGAAAGTTCCTCGAAGAATCGTACATGCGATGATGTATGATCTTAATCCTGAAGGTCTTGAGCAAAGAGCGTTGGAAAACAGGAAAAAAAACCGTGTTAAAGGAAGGTTTACCACAGCTGGTCCGAATTGGGTCCTCTCTTTAGATGGTCATTGCAAGCTCATGGGTTTCCAGAGAGATACCTTCCCTTTGGCAGTCTATGGCTGTCTGGACACTGCAAGCCGCAAACTATTGTTCCTTAGGGTTGGAACTGGAAATTCTGATCCAAGGGTTATTGGACTATGGTATCTTGAGTTCCTTTATGACACCAAACGAATTGCATCAATGATCAGGATTGATAAAGGAACTGAAACAGGAAAAATGGCAACACTACATGCTTATTTGCGCCAACATCACAATGATATGGATCCATGTGACACTGTTATTTACGGGAAGTCAACTTCTAATCAGGTACTAGTAAAAAGATATAACTAATTCAGTGGCATCACATGAATCCCAGCATTTCTTAGTTAAACAGACACACCTGGAGCTTTTATTTCATTTTGATTTGTACAAATATTTTTGACATAGCCCTTATGTAGGCAATTAGGCATACCATAGGGTGTGGGTATGTTGTACCACCTTTCTAATTTATGTATTATGTAATAAGAGTACTGTATTATAATCAGATTATGGAAATATTGTTGTGGTTTTTAGATCGAGAGGTGGTGGAGAGAACTCCACGAAAGGTTAGAAAAGTATTACAAAGAAAAATTGTCATATCTGAAAGAACAAGGTTACTACAACCCTGATAATGAAAGAGACAGGTATGTATATTATCATATATTAACCCTGTAGTATGTTTTATGATTTGTTTATTAATGCTAAAATCAGGGCTGCCCAGAGAGATTTGGGGGCTCAGGGCAAAATTTGACTTGGGGTTCCTTTTAGTACTGCATTATGCTAGGGAGTGGATGGTCCGGGGGAGAATGGAACAGAAAAATTTTAAAATTTGAGGTCCTAGAATGGCAAAATCTTGCACACTCTGTAACAGTATTTGAGAGTTTATATTTACTGCATATTTTTTTTGCAAGTTGCCCCTTTGCCCCCGCCCCCCCCCCTCCTGCCCTCTGGGCAGCCCTGGCCAAAATGATTTGCAATTAACGTACATTGCTCATGCTAAAAAAACTGTTAGCAGAATTTCATTTCCACAGATATAGTGTATTTCCTTTATTCATGTTTCA